CAACACGTGTCTGGGCCTTTAAGCAAGTACCTAGGGCCTAGGGACGTTGTAACCTACCATAATAACAGCCTAGGTCCTAGGCTGTTAGCATGATAAGTTACAACGTCAATTTAGAAAGTAAATTGCCTGTTTGCCGATTAAATAGACCCTCAACAAAAAGAGGGAAAAGTTAAGTTGGTCACCCAACTTAGATACCAGTGGCCCCTAGTCCTGTGGTGAGTTTTAGCGTTATTAGTTTTTAGTTTAGTTATATATCGCCAAAGTTAGACAGATATAGCTAAACAACTACTTTTTACTAAGATAAACTTGACAAAACTAAAAAGTAAGCTACGTTGAAACTAAAACTGAACTGAAAATCCAAATAATAAACTGAAAACTTAACTAAGCTTATAGAACTGGTCCCGTAAGACCGAATGCTGGGGCTAGGGAATCTAAGGTGGGCGACCAAATTACCTTTCACCAAAAAATCTTCTATCAGTAGGATATTTACCGTGTTGAAATCCGTAACCGAGACTTAGTTGGTTAAACTCTTGCAGCCTGACGTTCAACTTGAGCAGAACATGCTATCTGACTGAATGGGAAGATGTGTAAGGCCGACGGTGGTTAGGATAGTTTTAACCGTTTCGGTGTCACTTCAAGCGGAACATAAGTCAGCCTGAATGAGCAGGACGCCAAGTAGTGGCGGAAAAGTGATTCCTTGCGTTAAAACTTCCAAGTAAACGAAATAACGCCAATCTCAAGCCTCTGCTATTAACTTTTCCCGATCGTCTAGTTCTGTGGCCATAGCAAAACTCTGTGGTTTAGGGAAGCCCTTGGTTCCGTCTTTCATTGGAACTTTGCACGTACTTTAGGTAAAACGAACTCTGACCACGTCTACCCTCGTTCACTTACCTGATCTGCCCTTCATTCGTAATTTTATTTAAATAAGAGCGCTATTTCAGGATTTTTCAATTGAGTAAACACTAACTTGGGCTAAACAAATGCTTGTGATGGGCAGGCAGTGTTGCCGACTATTACTGCGAGTGCCTATTTCTTACCATTTACATCCTTATACTTCTAACTCAGAGCTCTGCTGAGGCCCCTTAAAGGTTTTAATGTTCAAAGGTTCAGTTAAACCCCGAGAGTCTTTTGCTGTTTCCTGGGGTCTCCACTTATAATGGTTTGGTCGAGCGAACCTTCTCGGAGTAACCATATTTGTCATTACAAACAGACAATTTACTAGGCAATATGCAAGCCATGGAGCCCTCTCCCGAAAGTCTGGTCTGAAACATTAATTGGTCTGTTGTAAAACATTTTCCTCATGAGCAATGGGTTCTCCTTCTGTTTATTAGCAGTTTCAGCTCAGCCAGTCTATGCTCTGGAACATTCACCGCGGTTGCATCGATCATGGCATATCTGCGCGTGAGAAATTGCCAAGAGTACCCCCCCCCCTCCCATGTGGTACTGTTTGCTTTGGCGTTCTGTCGGTAGACCGAGATGCGCAAAGTTGACTGTTCTGGACTCTGAACCACTTGTATGTCCCCTTGCTGTACTAAAGGTCGTCCTACTAACACTCCCTCCCTCCCCCTGGCTGCTGATTTCGGACACTTTGTGATATCAGTAAACTACACTCCGACAATTTTTGACCTAGTGGCAATACGAAAGCACAAATTTATGGTTCACATTTCTGGTCATTTTAAAAGAGAAAGAGGGA